GGGGTTTTTTCTTAAAAAAAAAAAATTATAAGTGAGAGTGGGACTTTTTGAGGGAGCAAAAATAGTTTGATATAATATGTATTAACAAAAAAGGTGGATTTTAAAAGTAATTGTTAAAATTTAAATGCATGGTAACACGGGACAAAAATAATTTTTTGTTGTAACATACAAAGGAAACATCGTATGTATATAATTAATAGGCAAGATTACAGTCTCATTACGTAACCATTTTGTCGGGGTTTTTAACCACCAAATACACATGTAGATTAGTGTAGAATAAATAATCTATGCTTAAAAACCCCGATGGAATGGTTCTGTAACGGACGACCGACCGTGGTGCGACTGGTATTGTTGGTCGGTCATGTTTTTTTTCCAAACAAAAAAATATCAGGGACAAAACGGTCCAAAGGGGGACAATAGGTAATAAAAACGGGAGCAATGTTTAGTAACACCCACAACAAATGAGAGAATTAGTTAATAACAAGGTGGCCTTTTTTGCTGTGTTCGTACAAGACTTGTAAACGAGTCGAGTCGAGCTCGAGCTTAGGCTGTTCGACCTTGAGCCCTTAACAAGCCAAGCCGAACCGAGCTCGACTCGTTAAATAAACAAGCCAGAAATCGAGCTTGAGCCCGGTTTGTTAATAGTGATTAACGAGCCGAGTTCGAACCTTGACAAGCTGATCTCGAGTTTTAACGAACCGAACTATAGAAAATTATAGAAAAATTTGTTTTCGAGTCTTATCGAGACGAGCCGAACTCAACTCGTTAACCAAACGAGTTTTAAATAAACCCGAGCTCGGCTCGTTAAGGCCTCGAGCTCGAGCCTTACCAAGTTGAGGCAGATTCGTTTAAATTAGTAGCTCTCGTTCCTACCAAAGAATCTAGTTAGTCTGTCTACCAAAAATTGGGGCATTAATTTATGATGTTTTTAGTGCTCATATTTAGGAGAACATAAAAAACATTGATAGTGTCCACAAAATATTCATCCAACACAAACATGTGATGGACATGTACACATATTTTGAAGAAAACCTACATACTTGAGATGGGACACAAATTTCATATCATTGGACAAAGAAAAAAAAAAACGTTTTATTACACTTACTAAATAGGATAAAACTATATTGCATAATTGGTTGGCATAGAGGATGCCAACAAATAATGTTTAAATTTTGTACCAAAAAAAAAATGTTTAAATTTAATATTTATTTATTTTAGAAAGAAATGTGATATGTAAAATAATCAATTTGTAACATGCGTTATTATATCATATTTTATGTCATCTCTTATATTCTCATTGGCGACTCCACGAACGCTGTCATCTCTTGGATGTCAAAATTACTTATGTTGGAGCAAAAAAAATACTAAAAACGAAAAGTCGAGTAAAATTAGGCCATTCAAAATAACTATATCAACAATGAGCTTTTATTTTACTCTCCTCCTCCTAGTTCACACATGAATAAGAATGAAATACTAAAATAGAGTGGTATTAGGATAAGGCACGATCTGAGTTCGGCTGGGCTTGTTAAGTATATGAGTTAAAAATCCAACCCGAACTCGGCTCGTTTATCAATATTAATAGTTGAGTCGAGCCTTAACGAACCGATCTTAAGCTTAACTTATCAAACTATAGAAATTATATAGAAATATCGTTTTAAAGGCTTAACAAGCCTTAGCGAGTCGAGTCGAACCCCGTTTGTTAACAAAACGAGTTATAAGCCAGTTCAAGCTCGACTTGTTTATTACACTGGCCGAGCCGAACTCGTTTCATTTAACAGCCCTACTCAACACGATTGTAAATGTTTTAAAGAATATAAAATGAATAATTGTTTGAGCCCTACCACATAAAAGGTAGGAACATAGTTTTTATTGTATATGTTTCCCATTGGAACTAAATTCGTGATGGCTCTTGCTGACTTATCTTGGCCTTTTAGGGTTCCTACAATCAATCAAACAAAAAATAATAATAAAAAAAAGGGAGACCACAACACGAAAAGACATCACCAATTTTTCTAGTACCATCAAGTTGAAACAACAATGCAAGTTTAGATATACATCTAAACCATCAAAGTCTGTTAACTTTGTCCTTCAAAAGCTCAGAGCCAAGTGGGGCATGTAAAAGGACTAATTTGTGGTAGATAACAAAGTTCACAAAAAACATTATGCTAGCAAGGGCTCGAGTATGGATAATATAACCATAATAATAAACTATTATTTATGAAAAAAATTTAGTGCATGAATTTCACAAATAGATAATAATATTAGGATTCATGCACAAATGCATTTATATTATGTACATGTAAAAAAAATGATAACACATAAATGAAATGTCACAGACAATTTACCTAATTGNAAGAAAAAAAAAAAAAAATGAAGAAAGAAAAAACAACTTTTTAAAATAGGATTAGCAACATGACCATAATTGATCTCTGTAGCCAAAAGTCTCGAATACAACTATACAAGTAAACAACTATAAAATCTTTCTTTTAATCATACAAGTAAACAACTATAAAATCTTTCATTTAATCCGTATATGCAGACAAGTAAAAAATTTGTAGATAAAACAAACAAATAAGTTGAAGAGGTTAAAATTTAAAACATCCCTCTAATCTTACAAACAGACAGTGCTCTCTGTATCCAAACTGGTGCAAAGAGATTAAGAAAAAAGAGGAAAAAAAAAAGATGCAAGTTTGAAAATTTGTAAACACAAAACTAGTAATAGATAATAATTCCTTTGTTCCACACTTTCCCATGATTCTATAAGATGTCAACAGGTCAGTGCAGAGAGTTTTTGTGAGGATTGATTGTAAAATGAACCCTGTTTTTAGTGTTTTATTTAATTTCAAGTGCAGTACTTACCCAAATAAAGATAACTTTAGCCATGGGCAATAGATAGATAGGGAAAAAAAGAAAAAAAGTTATAATACAGGGGTATTCTTGGCATTCTGCATTTGTTAGGTTAATGGTTACAATTAATGAAAATGTTTGTAAAGAAAATGAAACATTTCTCGACTCACTTTCATGGAATAACCTATTGTCTTGGGTTTTTTGTACATGATTTAACACTTAAAGTGCTGTGCTAAAATNAATTATAGTGAAATTCGGTCTTGTAGAAACTGTAGAATAAATTTCAAAGTGTGAGATTAGAAATAATTTATTGAATTTGTTAGAGATGGCACGGTTTCGGGATGAGAGACCTTCTCAAATAAACTTATATGGAAATAAATAAAATAAATTACTATCATGATAAAAATATTACTACCAAAATAGGGGTTGAACTAGAAATACTCAGCTTCAGGTTGCAGTATGGATTAAGAAGTGTATTCACGGTGAATGATTATGACAGTATAAGTATGAAATGGTAAAATGCAAGTTTATTGTTTTGTGTGACATAATTACTTTGTTTTCATTTTAATATTGGACATTTTCATTTAGGGCCTTCTTTTTATTACTATTGTATGGGGAGAATTGAGAGTTCTAAACTTTAGGTTTGAGTCAGGCATAATACCGACATTGTTTTAAACGATCAGATACCAAAAAAGCTACAAAAAAAACAAAACTATGAGAACCGTATTTTTTCGAGACAGAACCCAATCGATCTGAACCGGGAAAAACTAAATTTCTTTCAGCGCCTGAAAAAAGTATATATGAAATGAAAAGAATATTGCATATAATTATTTTATTGAAAAGGTATATATGATCCTGGAAAATACAGATTAGTATCCTTTAGTATAAAGCATTAGTAGCCTAGTAAGTATGATTTATAGATTAACGAATAAAAACAATACTACTTTCCAAGTACAGGTAGCAATTAGAAGATTTCTATTTTCAGCAACATAATTGGGGTGAAAAATAACATAAATCTTTTCTTATTCCTGCTATCTACTCATTGGGGGTTAAACAGTAGCACTACTTGAAGAGGAAATTATCTATTACTCGATACTCTATATGCTGACAATTTATCTTCCCATTACAGGGCAGCTAGAAAAATTATTATATTTATTTGTCCTTCAACTTATTTTGATTATTTTTTTTTCCTGAATTCTGAACCCTATTTTGGGGAGTAATTACATTTTTTTATCATTTCCAAGAAGTTTAAAAACTTGTCAGATTTGTTTTAAGCTGTAAGCATTGCATCACGGAAGTCAGGAAAAAAAAAAAGTCATAAAACCCATAAATGAATTTAGAGTTTCTTTTGTCCTTTCTGGTAATTGGAGGGGCAGATTTTGTTCCCAGCCAAAAAGCATTCATTAAAACCTTACAATTCTTAACACTGCCACACCATTGTTTACTGGGTCAATTTCTTCAGAGCAGAAAAAAAAAATTACATTTTCATAAAATCTAAATTTGACTAAATTGAATTGGGATTAATAAGGAAGAAAAAAACAAAAAACAAAACTGGAAAGGGCACATGATGGTCATCAAAGCATACAGCTTTCAGAAATAACAGTTTCTACTTTCTATTGAAGAAAACACAAATTTGTCCCTTTATATGCTCATGGAAAACAAAAATATGCAACATATTCAGAAGGGTCTCTTTTTAGTTTTTATTTATAGTGTTTCCAGCAAGCTCTTTGAATTGATTTGAAACACAGGCTTCAGTTAATAAAATTTTACCCTCAGTAAATCAAGAACTGCATTAAGTGAAAAAAGAACAAAATCAAACTGAGTTTTTTAAGGTAACTTCCAGACAAAAAATGAAAAATCCTTCACTGGAACAGCACCACAAACATTCTTATAAAATGGCATATATGATATATCTATATCACAACATTACATATATTCTACTGAAGCTCAATTAAGATTACAGTGTTTTCATGCATGAATCTTCTGAGATTATAGAGATAAAACTGAAACAATTGAGCACTGCCATTTTTATTTGATTTAGTATTTTGAATAATAGAACTTTGTACTTTTAATGAGGGAAGTATAATTTGATCGTGCGAGGCTAATAAACAACCGCGTGCGACCTTTCAACAAATTTCTATAGATCTTGAATTACTATTATTTAATTACTAATTTTGCTTTGTTGACATGGTTTGGGCAAAAATGGGTTTGCGGCAAAGAAATTTTTTTACAAACACCATTTACAGAACATATAAAAATCTACTATCTTGACAATACTTCAATTTTTTTCAACACTATGAAGTGAAAACAAAGTTGGGCTGGGATCAGGCTAAGGCCCACATAACTTTCACTTGCACAACCACAATTATACCAACAATAATATGACTCTCTTTTGTACACTCATGCAAATCAAATTCACACATATGCTAACAATCTAATACCATCCTCCAATTTCCATAAACTAACAGCTTTGTAAAAGACTCCAATAATAAAAGTGAACATGACACACAGAATATGAGCATAAACCCAAATCAAATCTTCATTCAACTGCACATTCTCAACATAAGCAAATCATTTTCACATTCACTTAGCAGAAAACACTCTCATAATCCAATTTAAACAAGATAATTCCACAATACCATATCCACAACTCCATTCTCAACAAGAACTTACAGAAAGCCATACGATGACACCGCCTCTCGACCAATCCTCGGCATCAAAGCTGAAGGAGAAAATACAGAGGAAATCTATTGCTCTCTTCCAAATCCCCATTCATCTCCTTCAAGAAACACTCCAATATCAGCAGGTAATCATTATCCACGCTGAAGGCCAAGAGTCCCGGTGACCTCAGCACCATGTGAGCCTGACGTCATACTATCCTAACCCTAACCCGACCAAAAACTCAATCTTTGGTATCGGCGAGGACTCTGCATTTGAGGCAAGCCGCAGCGTGGTCTGAGATGTCTGTCAATTCGGGCCGAAGAAGCCCAATTAGGCCAGGAACTCCAATGTGGGCCTCAAACGAGTATTCTAGGGCACACGAATTAAGGATTTTTGGGCTTCGGAGGGAATCGAATATTGGGTTAACGCCAGTGTAAGGGATGAAGGTGAGGAGCAGAGGATACATATCGAGAATCCGGCGGGCGGGCGGCGGCAAGGTCGATGCCCATCGAGGAGAGGCATTGCGTGATTGTGGAGATTGGGGCTGAACGGAAATTAGGGTTTATGTAGAGGGCTTTAGTGAGGTTACCTTTGATGGATTCGAGGTGGAGGAGCTTTTGCGTGAATTTCACGTCGGAGCCGGCGGTGGTGGCCGGAGTACTGGCGGCATGGTTGCCGTTAAAAGTGATAATTTTCGAATTTTTTGTTCATGATATAAATATTAAAATAATTATTTACTCCTTTAACTTTGTGGGCTTCAAACTTGAGCTTCTTATTATGCCGTAGGTAGTTGAAGAAGAAATCTTTGCATCTGCCAAATTCATACATTCAAGAGCCCAATGGTCCAAATAGTTAAAATATTCCTCTTGAGGAATTTACACCCCTTACTTCAACATTTTAAAAATATTATAATTATACACTTATTATATAAAGTAAGCCTACAATATTGCCAATATACCTGTTGACATCCGAATTCGCCCCCAAAAGAAACCGGACAAGGCAGCTTCGGGAGCCAAACCGGAGACCCGGTCTAGCGAGTAGGTGCCGAACTGGATTCTAAAACTTTTTGATCCTAACACCCCCGCGAGTCCGTCTGTTAGCCCGGCGTTCGCGACAGTTAAGTTCTGGTACCGGCCTGATAAGTGACGACCTGAAGGAAGGCGCCCCAAAACCGGAGGAGCGAAAAGGAAACAGGAGCCGACTTGAGGTCTCAGCACGGATCTTCCATGGCGGATACCGATCTCGATGACGGTATAATAATGCCACTTGGAGAGTAATCATTGGTGATTGGACGGGGCATCCTAGCCTGCTGACCTACATCCTCTAGCCAAGACATAAAGTCTGCCAGCATTAAATGGCCCACATATGTGCATTAAATGTCTGTCAGGCAATGATGAGGAAAACCTCAAATCGCATTGAATTCTGTCAGGGAGGCGCCGGACTGCTCTGCAAGAACACTGTGCGACAAGACCGATGAACAGTACCTGAACAGTACCACGTTAAAGAGCCCTATAAATAGCAACCCCTCATTTATTTCTGGGTTGTTGAATCCCAACTGTCTAAACTCTCTCAACATTTTCTCTCTCTAGACTTGTAAGGAATTCGTGTAAGAATCTGTAAGTACATCGCAAGTGCCGACCTCGTACGAGAGGCCGACCTCGTGATCCTTTATTAAAATCATAATTAAACCGCATCTTCTTGTCTTTTTCTCGTTATCTTCTCATTATTTACCTTTTTAACCGTTGACCGGAAACGTCCGTCAACAATACCTAAGGAGTGACCGTTTAAATTAGACTAGATAATTAAGGAAAAGTAGATAATTAAGGGAATGTTACAGAGTTTATGGACAAATTAAATAGGACACTATCTCTCCAAATATTCAATATCTCTGCAACAAAAGAAACCCACCACACACGTTCACCATATCCCAAGCAAAAAACCTCTCATTGTTTTCCCAATCGACGTCAATGGCGAAGATAAAAATTACTCGCTCTCCTCGAAAAAAACCGGCGAATGAAGGGGATGAAACACCACAGATAAGGTCAAGTTCCCGGCTTCGTAAGATCCTATCAAAATCAAAACCCAAACTCATTCAGAAGAAGCTCGTTTTTGAGAGAAATATGAAACCGAACCCTAATCGCAAACCCGCCGGTAAAATCGGCGAACACGCAGGGCGCGGCGGAGAAGGGAATGCGCCCTAGAATTTTTGGGGTCACAATAGGCTTGAAGCGGCTGAGGTGCGAGGACCAGACCACGCTCCTCAGTGGGCAGGAGGACAAATTTGAACCTCTGGATCATGGGATCGCGCATTGATACCTTAATTTGTAATCGACCTGTCAAGTTTTTTTTTCGGTGGTATATTTGCGTAACTTTTCTTAAGAAAAAGATCGATCGCGCCTCTATCGTTTGTGTAGTGTTGTGGTATATGTACAATATATGATGAGTATATGTACGGTATATGTTAAATATATACTTTTTTCTATCTGTTTTGAAGAAAAACTTCTCAAAGGATAATTGTCGAGCACTTGGTGTGATTGATTTGTTAATAGATAGTTCTATTCTGTACATGTTGCGGGTATATGTTGTGGGTATATACAGTATATTTTCAGTATATGTTTCGGTATGAAAATTTGTATGTTTCGGGTATGAAAATTCTGTACATGATTTATATGTTACCATCAGATATGAAAATTTACACGTTGCGGGTATATACCAAAGTTGTACAACACACATATACATAAAATATACATAGAATATGCATAAAATACACACTCGAGATTCACGTAATTCAAATCCGCGACACCACTATACACAAAATATACTTTAAATATACACTTAGTTTCAATTGTTTCTCAAAATCGATTTCAGAACCAACATATACATAAAATATACCTAAGATAGACACTCAAGATCACGTAGATGAGACGAGCAGGCAAGAAGGTCTCAGACGGTGGTTGAGGAGAGTCTAGTTGGTCATCTTTTTTTTATCTTTTTCGCCGTATTTTTTCTTTCTTTTAAAATCTTGACTTCCGAGGGCTTGTGGCCGGAAAAACCCGTGTCTTGGAACATGGCCACTGTCGCACACGAAGCAGGCGCGCCTATCTTGTCTAAGGGCTGCAGCCGGAGTGTGCCTGCCTGCCGTGAATGGCTTGGTGCTCGCCGGAATTTGGTGCATCTCGGGTGCCCTCGAATCTCCTTGCCTGAAATCGTGGTTTCTAGTGCTCGTGGATCGCCGACTCGCACGAATTTCTCGTTGCCGGAAAATTGGTGGCCTCCTTCTTGCCGAGGAAGATGACGGGTTTTTTGGAACTTTCTGAGGGATTTTTTTTTTTTTTTNGGTTTTTTTTTTTTTTTTTTAGGGGGACGAAGATCTGTAACTATCAAATATGAAATGAAGATCCGTAACTTATTTTTAAGCAACAATGTAATTAATTATTAGCTATTAGGTATATACACAATTAATTATGTATGAATGGTAATTTTGTAATATTCCTACAATCGTGTAGGATAAGTGAAAATGTCTCAAATATCTTCAATCAAAACTATATGGGCTTGTGAGTTGTAACCATTAGTGGGCCATTGCAGGTCTCAGAAGAATTAAGAAATAATTTGTAGCCCATATAATAGGTTTATTCTGTTACAAGATAGTCCAAGAAAATAAAATGGGCCGAGGACGAGAGAGTTGTCAGGTCAATGTTTCAAAACCCGTTCGACCCGGAACCGATATTGCCATATTGGTTCGAATGGACCAGATAAAATAGACGTGTAACAAGTGTCAAGTGTGAAGATAACGAGTAGTATCAAATATTATGGTCTTTTTTTGAAATATGTGTTTTGTTTGATAAGATAAAATCATAAAATTTGATGAGCGCGTGGGTTCGAAACTCAAGAAACATGTATGGTGTTGCAGGGTAACTAGCCCAATTTGGCCAATTAATTGTTTTCACTTGACCCATTAATGTCACGAATATGATACTCCCTCCTATTTTTATTATTTGTCATTTTAGCTTAATTGATCATTTGTTAAATAAATATCGTTTTGGCTATTTTATACATATTTTTCCATTATTACCCTCATCTAACTAATAAATACACTACGTCTTTTCATATTCACTCTCCATCTTTTCTCAAAACATCAATCTATATCCTCATTAATGAGGGTTATTATTGGCAAAAAAAATATTTTTAATTATTGTGCAACTTCTCAAAACGACATTTATTAAAAATAGGAGGGAGTATTTATTACTCCCTCCTATTTTTATTATTTGTCATCATAGTTTAATTGATCATTAGTTAAATAATTGTCGTTTTAGCTATTTTGTACATATTTTTCCATTATTACCTTCATCTAACTATAAATACACTACGTCTTTTCATATCCACTCTCCATCTTTTTTCAAAACATCAATTTCTATCCTCATTAATGAGGATTATTATTAGCAAAAAAAATATTCTTAATTATTGTGCAACTTCTCGAAACGACATTTATTAAAAATAGGAGGGAGTATTATTTTATTTTAATGGGGAATTTCCAGACATCACATCAACCATTGTTTTGGAGTAAACGAAGCTCTCACTTGAGCCGCATGCTGGATTGTCTTTCCTGTTGTCGGAATAAGCGCTCTTTTACTGAGATCCTGTTTTCGTCGACAAGCCCGTTTGCTTTGGGAAAAGGATCTTTACCTGAGGGCCGAGACTCCACTGATTGACCAAGCTAGTGAAAGTACTTTACCGGGCCCGATGAGGAAAGTCATTTGCCTTAACCTAATCTGATCCCGGATTCCATTCCATTCTTTTTCTTCCACTCCCCCACCTTAGCAGCCGATACCAGCTCTTCTTGTTTCTCAATCTTTGGAGAATGCGGCGTTGTATTATTGTAAGTTCTCTGTTCCAAACATTTCCTGAAAGTAGACGACAAGTTTTAAATCTTAATGCAGGCAAGGGTCGATGTAATTGAGTTGAATCAGTCTTTTTCGCCACATCGCGATTCCTAGCGGTACGAAAAGAGAGGTCGTGATGATATCATCTACGTCCGTACCGCTCCTCTCTCTCTCTTGAAAAGTAATCGATCTTCCACCTTAATAATTAATCATTCAATATTTTTCAAAATTGATGGTTCGCTACCTGAATCTAAGTAGAATCGGTTGAGAACGACTTCGATCTGTCTGAATCGGTGCGCTTAGACCAACAAAATTCAGCTTTGGAGGAGATTCAGATGTAGAGCCTCCTATAATTAAGTCAGCACAAGGAAAAATGTAAAGCCTTAGATCTAAAGAAATGGAAGCTTTGTGGTTGTACCTCATTCCTCTTTTATAAAGGAAAACCTGCTTGAATTCGTCTGCCCGAGTTGCCTGCGGTCAGCCTGCCCTACTGCTCAGGATTTAATCTTATCCTCATCCTAATCATATATGAGTCATCATTAGATTCTCTCTTATTCTACTAAGATTCTTTCTTATCTTTTCACTAGACAGTTCAATTAGGTCTCTGTCTAATTATAATTGTCACGTTCATCTCCTCATAAGTCGCTCTATCAATATCAATGTTCTGAAAACCGGACCGGTCCGGCCGGTTCGACCGGTTCAACCGCGAACCGGCCAGTACAACGGTCCGGTTAGAGGTATTAAACCGCTTGTGTCAGAAACCGCTTACCAACCGTTCGGACCGGTCGAAAATCGGTAAAATCGGAACGGTTGGTCCGGCCCAGCGGTTTCCAATTTTGTTTGTTCTGCTCTGCAACTCGCCATCAGATTTGAA